AAAAACCACGAGGCCTAACCCTGTTGAAATAAGCCACTGTGAATGAAGAGTACACATGTCTATTCTTCTCATAAATTAGGGAATATTGAATTACAAAGGTGTATAACTATAATCTAGTTATAATTCTTGGTGAAAGCAGGTTGCAAGGGTCATTATTGATTGTTGTGGAGGTAGTAGTTCATCGTGAGTGTTGTAAATGGTTGCTCCAGAAGCGTTGATTGACCACAAAAATCGTAGTAAGCAATTATGGTAGTTGTGGACCACATAGGTTATAGTGGTGAGTATGAATGACGTTTGTAGGTCGTCGGGGCCGGAGTCAGGAGCTGCAAGACATTGGTCGTATGAGCGAATATGAATGACATCCGAAGGTCGCAAGGGTGGTCAAGAGTTGTATGAGCTGCTGATCACGTAGGTTGTTTGGGCGAGTATGAATGACGTCCGTAGAACAGGGGGCTAGAGTCGAGAGCTGCATGAGGTGTGAACCAGGTAGGCCATAGGGGCGAGTATGAGTGACGTCCGTAGACCGCAGGGGCCAGAGTCGAGAGTTGGATGAGCTATGAACCACTTAGGTCGTAGGGGCGAGTATGAATGACGCTGGTAGGCCATGTAGGGCTGGAGTCAGGAGCTGCACGATGTATGAACCATGTAGGTCATAAGGTCGAGTATGAATGACGTCCATAGGTTGCGGGGGTCAGATTCGGGAGTTGCACAAGCTGTGAACCACATAGGTCGTTGTTGGCACATGAACCGTAGTGATGAGCTCATGTCCCAAGACGATGACTGACGACTTCTGGTTGGTGGTGATCGACAATGATTGGTGGTGATCAACGGTGACGGTTGATAGTGGCGGACGGGTGACCAACGGGTATCGACGACGGCAGGCGGTGGTCAATGGCGATCGGCAATGATCAACAACAATCAGGATGGTGCTGGACTTCAGCTCCTTCTCAGAGCTTCCATTTCTCTCTGAAGTTTGAAGTATCTCCCCTCATGTGAAGGGTGGAGCTATATTTATAGTGTTAAGGGTATCATTAATAAAAAATATGAATTATTTTGATCAGACGGTCCAGAGAGTTTCCTCCGATCAAACAACATTTAATGGACATTTGAGTGTCTTAAAGAAGTCAGAATTGAGTGATCTTGGGCTCGTTAGATTCTTCTTGTCGAGACACTCAATTCGAGTATAAGCTTGCTAGCGTCGCAATCCGTTTGACTTTCCAAATGTGTTCAAAAGTCTTTCA